CTGTCCATCTGCAGTCGAGCGACCACAGCATTAGTCCCCTTCACTTCATCGATGCGCAGCCAAGCTGTGGCCGAATTAGGGGATCTGATGCCACCCCACGTGGCCGCAGCTCCTCCTGCTCGCCGCTGGTATTCAACAGAAAAGTGCCATGCTGGAGCTGAGTCCTGAGGGAGCCGCCAGCATAAAAAAAGCTGGTCGTAAGCTAACGTCTTCTGGGTGTCAATGACTGGAGCCAGTGGAGCTGTGGAGAAAAATTGCAAAGATACGGAGGTTAAACTATTCATTTTTAACTCTTTAACATACCATGTATTGCAGGAACAAAGAAGCTGACAACCCACCTTGTATAAAGTCCAAATTGTTTATGATCTTAATCTCTTTGGATGCATCCAGGTGAAAGTGTCTGAAGGAGGGCTCGGCAGCAAGAGAGAAACACTGGAGATTTTCTATAGCCTTCACCAGCCTGGAGAAATAAGATAATAAAAGGAATTTAAGAAAATTCAAATAAAGGTAACAAATCGAACTGAATGAAAACGGCTGAATCTCTTACCTGTTGTGTGTTATTCTCGCAGCCTGCACAAAGCAGGGTGCATCCGTCTCTTTCAGCAGCTCTTGAGTGTAGGCCATTAGACCGGCCTGCTCCAGCAGGCCTTGCTTCTCAAAGACCTGAGAGGACAGGGCCTCCTCCTTTCTGCTGCGGGATCCCTCCAAGGCCAAGGTCAAAGACCCCTGGCGCTCAGCTACAGCCGCTCCCAGCTCATGGATACAGTGAGTCAAGTGCTGTAGAGCCACTGCACTGTTGGCCTGCAGAAAGAGAGAGGATGCAAAAACAGCTGGAAAGAATGAAGATTGGAGATACTGTTGCTATTCAGGGAAAAATCACGATGCTTTTAGAATGGCATTTACACATTGTGTTGCAATTGTAGTTAAAAGAAAGTGGTCAGTTAAACTGAAGTCCATTCATACTTTACTGAAGCATCACAGTTCCTCTAAATTCAGTGAAATAATTACATTTTTTTGCTGAGAAACTCAGGAGAAAGCTGCAGGTAAGATCTAGACAGTATTGCTATCCCAATGACATATTTTCTGCTAAAAATGTAAAATGAACCCCCAAAATATTGCATTTGAAGCCCTAGCAAATACTGTTGCACCTGTACAAAGATCAAAAGCTACTTTAACAAAGCAGAGGAGAAGCACACCTCCATGTGTTTGATGGCAGCCTCCAGTTGAGTGATCTGACTCTGTATTGTCTCCTGGTTTGCCAAAATGAAGTTGATTTCCTTGGTAATCTTGTCCTGGAAAACCAAATAGAAAGCTAACACTGCTATGCTGCAATCACCAGGGCTGTAGCACAGTAAAAACATATTACCACCACCCTCAAAATCACCTTGAGTGCCTGGTAGGCTTGTGCTATAGGCAAAACCTTGTGCCCATGATGGATACGGCGTAGCTTACAAAGTGGACACAGCAGCCTCTGGCAGGTACGGCAGTACCACTGCAGTCTCTCCTGCTCATGCTCTGTGCATGTTAAAACCTATAACACAAAGGTGGGTTAATGTACTGGAAGAGATGCAACTTTGTATCATGTGCGGAGATAAAAACAGAGACCAACCTTTGGCCTAAAGTTGTTGGTAGGTAGAATGTGTTCATGCTGAGCTCGAGGCGTTCCCCACGGGTGGTAGAGCTTGAAACACTCGTTGCAAAAGTTGGACTTGCAGTCAGCGCAGCCCTTGGTAGCCTCCAGAGACTGGGGAGGCTTACAGAAACTGCACGTGATGGCTACGCTGCCCAGACTTACTGTGTGCCTGTACCTAAAGGACAGACATGTGTACATGGAGATAAGGGCAAGGCTGTGATAATTCTGCAGCGGCAAAGAAAGAAAGCAACAAAAAAAATAAATGGGAATAATGAGCTCATCTGACTGTGGCCTGCTTTTTTCAGTAGTTAAGAAGGCAACTCTTCAACTGCCTGACCTGGATACATCACCAGCAGCTGCCTTGTTATTGCATCCTGCACAGTAAAACATGCACCGTCACACTTTCCCGACCAATTGCAGTGATTCTAGGGGAGGAAGCAGCGGCACCCAACAAACTGCTGCGTGTGAGAGTGTCTCTCCCTGTCTCACTGCTTCAAAAGCAGCTCCTCTCACTTTGATCTCCTTTGTTTGAGCTGATAAGGGGTGGGGGAATTAAAAAGCCAGAGGAGTGTTTCAGTCCAAATAAAAATTAACAGTTTAACCAATGCTGCACTGCATTTTTACAGCTGCCCCTGCACTTTGCTCTCAGTCTTGGATCAAGAGTAAAGGAAAAAGATCATTATTGCAACTCCTTCCAGCAAATGATTTCCTGTCTCATTTATAAAGCAGCACTGGCCTCACTCTTCATTTGCTGCCTTTACACATTGCCTGCATGACTGGTTAGAGTGCTTTTCCAAAACTATTACAGCTCTTATAATGCGACATTCCCACTGGATAAAATAAAGCCAGGTGACATGCATGGGGGAGCTAAAAGGTGTCTGCTCTTTCTCTGCCTGACCTGAGGTTGTGATGCTACAGCACTTATATGATATTCATGGGGTTGGTGCGTATACATACCTCTCCACAATGCGCTCCAGGGTGAGGTTGCGAAGGCAGTCTGTCAGGCCTTTCTCCCCGAGCTCTATATCCTGCTGACAGGAAGGACAGGGAAACAGCATGGGGGGATGGGTCTCCTTCCGCCGTCGCCCTGGGTATGTCCCACACACTGGGAGAGTGATGCAGGTGTGGGGATAAAAAGGAAAGAAACACAGACACAGAAGAATAAAAAGCAAGGTTTTTAGAGATAGTTTATGAGGAATTTAACAAAGGCGGACTAGTGAGAAAAGGAAGGAAGCAAAACTCTAATTTGCCTCCACATTTGTGCAGATCATCATGAAAAATAAACTTCTAGAGGAAAAACTATTTGCTTACATAGACACCTTGGCGACACACCTGCTCGGCAGATGCTTACTGCCTTTCGTGTCTCCTTGAGGTAAGGACTCTCGGACTCTATCTTCTTGCTCTACACACACTTAAATAAGTCATTAGATGAATCCATAAAGCTCTGGATGTGCGGCAGGATGCTGATGTGTCTGTTAAATCATCTATGACACTCTGAGAGGACAGTGACATCATGCCACGTCAACATCATCCTTGTTCATTTGAATGCCAAACACACACACACACACACACACAAACCATTTCCTTTACCTGTTCTAAGGACCCGCTCCAGGCGATCAGGCGTCCTGGGAGCAGGTCTGCGTGTCTGTCGTGGGGATCGGGTGTTGGGTGTGGAGGATGGTGAGTAAGGCTCTGGAGGGAGATCTGGAGGAGGATAGCCTCTTTGTACCAACACCTCAGCTGCACAAAGCAGACACACACTGTGCTGGCAGGGCAGGATGATGGGCTGCTTCACTATCTCATGACACACTGGGCAAAGCAGCTCCTGTTCCATGCTCTTCATGTTGGACTGGAGAGGAGGACGAAAGAGGCTGAAGACTAAATAACAGCTGAATCACTAGAATAAATAAGGAATCGGCTGCTCTATACATTCTGTGTCTTGTGATATAATGTATAGTCAATGTGTAGGAGGCTGGCATTGAATATACAGAGAGCAGAGAAGGCCAACGTGGATGAATAAATAGCTTTCCCCTGAATACTCATCTAGCTTTACCTGTACCCTGTAAAAAAAAAAAAATTAGATGCACTTTACACAACTCAGAGAAGTACAAAGCAGTGAGATTTTTAAATCTGTAAAATGAAAATGCATTTTTCTGCTCATTCTGTCCACCAGCATCAGTTTTACTGGTTCTGGAGGCCCCTTTCTATTGCTGCAGCTACTTAAACGCAGCATCCCGTTTCTATGACAACGTGCATCTTCCCATCATGTGCATCACGAGTATTTTAACCTACTACTCGCCAACATATTTAATTGGTTTTAATGCTCAAACACTCATTTGATCTACTAGAACTTTTTGTTTACTTAATTAATGCATTTGTGGTCACAGTGGCCCCGTTTTACGTTTCCAGCCACAGTGCTAGAGCATTGCCATTTTTCGTTGATTCAAGATGCAAAAAAATACCTTCCAAAGGAAGAAATGCCACACATTCCTTCATCATCAGCGCACATATGTGCAATATGGAAAAGATCCACAGGTAAATGCACAGGTGGTAAACAGATCGCTTTTAAAAAGAGCACACATGGTTAAAAAATGGCTAATAAAATGAGCGTCACACTTACACTGATGCGAACCAGCGCGTCCATGATAGATGTAAAGGTTTGTAAGTCCGCTTCTGCCATACTCCCTCGATGCAAATGTCTCTGCGATACAATAACGGATCGCCTTTTTTCGTCTGGAGAAAGGCTGAGCAGGGTTACCGTACCGAGGTATGGCAAGCCCGGGCCTCGACCTGATGTAGCCGTGCTAGAGGTGTGTTTTTTCACACACGCCGATTCAGTGCCGTCTGTCTCAAAGCAACGAGTCCACTCCACGTAGCAATCAGATGGGAGGAGGGGGGGTTTGTACTGGTTTAGGCTACAGCTGCCACAGTCGCATTGCTCAAAGACCGATTAATACAATTAGAATGGAACTTGGCACTATTATATTCGAGCTAGATTTATTTTATTTTAATGTATGACAAACCTTCAAATAAAAATGTCCGATTACATATTAACATTTATACAATTACAGCATTTTATAGGGTTTTTCACGCATGGCATTCTGGATGTGTTAGACACACATCCAGAATGCTTAAAACAATTTGCAGTTCAGTTTTTCGAAATAAACCTCCAGCTCCTTGAACGTGCAGCTCCTCCGTAGTATTTATATGTTGATACATATGCTGGTGGCAGTTTTTCGTTTTGCCATTAGATGGCAATGTTTTGTTTTTTCAAGCACACACACACATACACGAGTTCTTAAATTGTTGTTCCATGTCCGGAACCTTTGTATGTTGCTTTTTCATGTGGTGGGTCAGTAATACTGGATGCACCCGTTCGCTGGTTGTTGTAGCAACCAGAGCATCCGCCTTTCGTGTAATAATCAGAGCAAGGGGAAATCGGATGAATTAGTTCGTATTTTATATGGAATACGAGTTAAAAGAGTGACATGGGCGGATGTGTTTATGCTGCAGTTATCTTATTTGTACTTTTTGCTATCTTATAGTAGCTACTAGGCGCATTTGAATTGCCGAAAAGCTGCATTTCCCGTCCAGCACTAATACCGTAGTTTTTCTGAATTGTTGTCTAGCTACACTTTATTCAAGCATGTCGGCGGTCAGTAGCCTTGTCCCCGCACGATTTCTCACCATCATAGCTCACCTCGTCATCGTGATCACAATCTTTTGGTCGAGGGTAAGTAAGCAAGCATGGCAAACAATTTTTTGTATTCTGTGATAATTTGTTGTAAATATCCATGAACACAATAAAGGGTGACGATAATCTGCAGATACTGGCACTGAAGCTCGACAGGAAAATTAAAAAACAAACAACAACAACAAAAACTAAAATAAATTTTAAAATGTCAACATGTGAGAGACCTCAGAGTTTACCACTTAAAAAGAAGAAGACATAATTAATTTCTCCCAATGCGCTAAAGAAGAAAAAAATTGGTAGAAAGGTAGGAAGTAATTCAAATTCAGATTCAAATCTGGACTTACAAGATGTACGAAACAAAAAGAAAAATAAATGAATATGAATAATCTTTGTCAGGTGATGAAGTCAGGAAAAATAAATAAATAAAATAGAAATAAATAAATAAAAAACAAGAACTGGAGCAGCTGCATGGCATCAGGAAGCCAAAGATTTTGATGTCCACCAGAAACAATATGATAGAGTCCAAAAGAGAAACTGTGGTACTTATAACTCAAGGACTAGCATGAGGGTGATGTAGGACATGTATGAGGACAGTGAGGTGTGTGTGGTAGGTGTGACAGGTTGAAGGTGAGGGTGTGATTACATTAGAGGTCTGCTCTGAGCCCCTTCTTGTATCCAGTGGTGATAAACAGGCTGGCCGATGAGATCAGGTATGAGTCTTCGTGGATTATGATGTATGCAGACAACATTGTGATATGTAGTTAGAGTAAGGATCAGGTGGAGAAGTGGAGCTATGATCCAGGGAGAAGAGGAACACACGTGTGTGAATAAGAGGTGGTGCAAGGGTGTAGCAGTGGAGGTGGATAAATTTAAATACCTGGGTTTAGGAATGAGTAGATGAGAGACGACTCAGGATTAGAGGTTTGGAGATAAAGTCAGAGAAGCGAGGCTGACAGGGTTTGGACATGTGCAGAGAAGAAATAGTGGATAAATTGGACAAAGGATGTTGAAAATGGAGCGAGTCAGGAGGAAGTTGTCCATCACAACAGAAGCATTGGAGTTGACACTGCTTCTTTTTCCTCATGTCTTAAGAAGTAATTACACCAATTTGTAACTTTTACTTTACAGGAAAATAATGTGAAAGCTTGTTTGCCTTTGGATTTCACACAGGAGCAGTATGACACTGAGGACAGACAGTAAGTAAATATTTTAAACACATTTGACACATTTGTGCACACATCTTCCAATCTATTATATGTATTCTCTTTTTCAGGTTGGTGGTGGCATTATCAGTGACTCTCGGTCTGTTTGCTATAGAGCTGGCTGGTTTCTTTTCAGGAGTGTCCATGTTCAACTGTAGCCAAAGCCTCCTTTGTATCCTTTTCACTCACATTTTACACTCTTATTTATCGTCTGTGTTTTGATTCCAAATGGTTACATTTATTACTTATTATGCATATATATTCCACATCCTCTGTTAGGACTATTTGTGACTGGCTGTCCAAAAACATGCAAATACACCAAATAAATATAAAGCTTGCAGTTGTAACTGAGATGATATGTAACGCCAAGGCAAACAGATAGATGTATGGTAGTAACTGAGTAACAACTGCAATGATGTTAGTGTAAGAAAAGCAATAATTTCAAAAGTGCTTGTGATCAGTTACACTTCCATGACTATCTTTTACCTGGTATAGCAACAGGAGTCCATGCCAGTGCCTCAGTGGCTCTGCTTTTCTTTCTATTTGAGCAGTGGGAGTGTCACATCTACTGGTGGATCCTCGCCATCTGCAGGTTGGTGTATAAGCTTGCTCAATGTTGTTGTATTTTTCCAAAGTTCTTTTCCCTGACTCACGTTTCAACCAGCACTGGCTGCCCACTGCAGCGGATCAGTGTCTTTGTCTTTTTTTGTGTTTGAAAAGTGGGAATGCTGGACTTACTGGGTTATTTTTGCCACCTGCAGGTTGGTTTGTATGCATGTTGATGTGAATATTAGTATTTATGTCTCTAGTTCAAAGTGACATAGCCTCTTTTAAGCATTATAAGCAGAAGTATAACCTACATTGGTGTCTCTCTGGCTCTTCCTTTAGTGTTCTACCGGCTTTAGTGGAGATTCTTCTGTTCATAGCCGTTTTTGGACTGAAGAAGAAGCCTTTATGAAGGAAAGTCCGGATGTACGATGGTACAAACCGAGATTGGATGTAGACATCTGTCAGTTTGTTAGCAGATATACTGTAGCTACAGAAAAAGAGTGGATACCAGACATATATCAGAACAAAACACCAACAGTAAGGGATGCATAAAACACACTTTTAAAATGTTTTTTAATCTATTTTTATATCATTTGAATAAAGTTGATGTAGCATACGTTTTTACCTTATGTCTATTTTTTGTATGTTGGAACTGGAGTGTTTTGTTTATATAGTGTGTTTGTAGCGTCAGTTACTCTGTAAAAGTAAATAAAGCTTGTAATTATTTTGTTGCTTTGGCTGTGTGTGTGTTCAAATTATTTCTTTCAGCTTGTTCTAGTGCATCTACTGCAAAGTGTTTCTTGGTAAATACATTTAAGTTGTAATTTCTGTTGAAATAAATTGAAATTGAGTTAAATTATTTAATGCCAGCATAATTACACACTTGTTCTGAACTGTACCATGAAGTTCTACTTTTAGAAATCCACAAAACATATAAACATAATGTATATAACGTACGTGTGTGTGTTTGTGTGTATTTAGACGATAGAAATGTAATTGTAATGCAAACACATAATTGTGTTTTATAAATGTTTCGATTTGAACTTTAGTGGAATCAAACAACCATTATTTAGATTTTTATTCTTTTATTGATTTTTTTTTCACCCGGAGAGCTCATGTGGCTCCTCCCACCGGTCCCACCTGACTTTAGAGCCGGGTAATCTGTTTTTTAGTTCCTAGAGCCGGGGCAGCTAGCTGGCTCGTCGAAGTTAAATTTAATTTACTGGTGCTTCGTCACGGGGACTATAATTAAGTATTACAGTATGGGTATGTATTGCATAATTATCAATAGACACATCGTCAGCACAGACATAGATGTGCAGATATCCTCAGTCTCAGTGTGCAGTATGTCTTATAGTCCTGTGTAGCTAATGTTAAATGTAAACCACGCTAACACAGATTTCTTTCTTACAGTCTAGCAATCCCAGCGTTACTGTAAAGTACCAGAAATGTTTTTATGTGCTGAGCATTTAGGAAATTATATTAGAGGGGTGTTTTGGTGCAGATTTGAGTTGATTAGCACAGAGCTAACAGCTATACGTGGGAAACGTTATGCGTGAACACTGACGTGGCGTTAAGTTCCAAGGCGTATGACTGCCCAATTCAAACGAGATATGACATTTAAAACCATCGTTTACTTTCGGTTGCATTACAGTTCTATACTAGATAACTCTTTAGCCTCAGATAGTCTCCGGTTTTGTCCAGATGACAGTTTATCTCTGTTGTTTGTAGCGGTGAACACTGGAACCTCCCTGGTGCTATCCAGTCTGCTCTCCGTGCTGGTATTCGCGGGGATGCAGATGTTCAGTAAGCAGCTGGCATCCACCGAGTGGCTCACCATCCTGGGAGGTTTTCTGGGCTCAGTCCTCTTCATCTGCTCCCTGACTGTATCCTTTAAGTGACATGTAGAGTTGAATTGCTTTGCCAATGTTGTTAATCAGTAAACTGCACAGTTCTTTTGGAAATCTGTATTTATTGAACAACTTTCAGACTTTTATTATATATTCTCCATAAAAATGTATAGATGTCACTGAGGAGAGTCGCACCTTAACTTTGGCTTCAGGCATTTAATAATCTGGAAAATTTGGTTTTCGGAAAGGGATTCCAGGCCAAGATATTCCCTGAGAGTAAGTGATGATGGCCCATGCCGTGGCCTTTTTCTTGTTCACATGGTGTTTAATATTTCTGCTGAGTTAACTGTTAGCTCAGCTTTACCTGAAACATCAGAATTGTTTATACCAAACTCTAGCCTAAATAATAGGTGGAAATCTTGGTTGAGGTAAAGGTCAGAGGTTAGAGAAGCCAGGTAACCCAGATCGCTGGTTTAAGTCCCTGTTCAGGTGAAGTGATCTTCTCTAAGATGTTTGATTTTTGTACACAAACCTTGCAAAAAATAATCAAGAAGCAAAAGTCTGACTAAATTAACAATAATAAAGCTAAATTGTTCCTCTCAATATATAGCCGCTGTATGCTGGTTTCTGCAGGCTGAAGAGCAGCGGTCACTACAGGAATCAACATCTGCAAAGTAATTTAGTGTAACACAGTTTACATGCAGTTACAGTGGTTTGCTTCTGATTGCCACAGCAAAACCTGTTCAGGGTTTTTGTGCCTGTTAAAATGCTAATTATAAATACTGCTCCAATCACTGTCAGTAACACAGTTATTACAGTAAAAATAAGCTGAAACATTCACCGAAAATGCAACGTCTTCACTAAATGTCTCACTGTCGAGTTCATGTGCAAATATAAGAATCTCCTCAGAAGAAAATGTAAAGTGCTTATTTGATAAGGAGCATTTTTTAATGTTGTTAGGTAGTCCTAAAATAAATTAAAACATTTAAAAAAATCATTTTAATTATATTAAACATCTTGCTGATGTTAAATCTACCACGTCAGGTAAACCAGAACAACAAAACATTTGAGCTAATGGAGAGATTAAAAGTTAGATAAATGTTGACTCAGACAACGAATTTAGGGTGCTGCTGCTGCTGCTGCTGCTGATGATGATGATTAGTAGTAGTAGCATTTATAAGCGGCAGCTGGTTTCTGTGTGTGCTTTAGTTAGCCAAGGTAAATAAAACACAGCACTGCTACTAGACTTGAGGTAAGCTCCTGCACTACCTCTGTGCAGGAGGGCTCTAGGCTTCACACACACACACACACACACACACACACACACACACACACACACACACACACACAAATCTTTTGACTGGTTAGGCAAGATGCTAGTTTCAATGAGCTGAGTCTACCCTCTGGTCCAGATTTGCGTATCATCATGACAGCCAATGCAAATTTAAAATAACATTCTAACATTATTACCTCGATGCACATCTGTAGGCTCATGTTAATGCTCATCACTTATATGATTTACTGTGTCATCTTGCAGTTCTGTTGTGTCTGTGCCTTTCACTGTTTGCCTCTGGCCTGGTACACCGTGTCTGTGTCACTACTTGGTAAGTGACTCCTCTGTAGAACACGTTTACCCAAAGCATCTAGAAAGCACTTCTAAATGTATTTGATTATTAAAATACTTCTCTTTCTTTTTTCCTGTTCAGCCTCATCTTTTCCCTCTTTGCCCTGTACTACATCAACAAAGTGTCTGCCGCCCTCTACCAAGCAGCTGTTCCTGTAGTAACACCAGCCAAAGCTGGCAGCAAGAGCAAAAGGAAGAACTAAAGAGCCCACTGGATCACACTTGTATCACACTTCGACCAGTCATTATTCCCCAGGTGCTGGTGGTCATTGCTACACAGCTGAATGCACAGTTTTGTCACAATGATCCTTTGTTATTAGGCTTTTTTTAGGTATATAAAATTTGGTTTGGGGTTATTATTTTAAGTCATCATTTCATTGAGTACAAGCCTGTAGTAGTTAATCTGGTCCTTTGGTTGTGTATTTTTTATTTTATTTTACAGTTCTCTTAAATTTGAATCACAAAGAAATGGTAGATATAAGGCCAAATGTGTTTTACGTTCCATCCCTTTCTAATCAGCGCTCTTTTTAAAAAGGTTGCAAAGAGATTCTTTCCTCCTGTGTATTCAGTTTTCTTCTGTTTTGTTTTTTCAAATCCATTTTTGTAATTAAACTTTCTGAAAGACTTTCAATGTGTTGTGCTTCCTTCTACCTTTGCTCAGTTTGTAATCTGCAGTCTAGCTGTGTGGGGATGTAATAAAATCATGCAGTGGCATATTTGTAAATATTCCTTGTGCAGCCATTCCCATAGTCAAGAGTGCTGCAGCCCACTTATTTTTCTGTTATATACTGAAATATGCATTTAAAGAGGACAGCAGTGGTGTAAAGGTTAGCAAAAGTACTGGTGGCTCTAGTGGTAACACAAGAGTTTAAAGTTTTATTAGTTTTCACTTTTCTCTCAGCTAAATTTGTGTCTGTGTTTCAATTAGTTGCCAGATCGGGTTTGATGATTTTGTTTGAGTTTTCCACTTTTAGGAAATATTTAGTTTTTATTAGCATCAGTAGGAAAGTTAATGTTTTTTTTTTATGTTTATATCGATGAGATATATGCTAAGAGAGTAATTTTACAAGTTCAGCACAGAGAATTTAAGGACAACACTTCTTCAAGGTATTTGATGCGGACACGGAGAGAGCCTTGACTGAATAAATCATGCATCAGTTTGTCTTCATGCTTCTTCGACCAATGTAGTAACAGTTTTCTTTCAGCTTTGCAAGTAAACAATATTGTTTAAGATTTCATTTTTCTGTAGATCATTTAAAATTTTCATTCAGTTTTAAGTTTTACTTCAGTTTTCAGTTAACCATAACAGTCTTCAGGCCCTTCACTCCTCATCTCCTTGGA